TTGTCCTTTTGTCCTTGTCTGTCAGTCCATGCAGATGCAAGATGGTTTCGCCACTCTCAAGTTCAGGCTTTCAATAAATTTTAATAACATTTTATTTTCACCATAATTAATAATGCCAAACAATTCTTTATTAAGTTATGAGAACACAGCCCCTGCTATTTCTATGCATTCTGCACATTATTCTTCATTATTTTCACTTCAGGGTTAACTGCTATGACTGCATATCATCCCAGACACCATTTGGTGGATTCAAGCAGTCTGGCCATGGAAGGGAATTGTGAGTATATCTGAGTAGTTACTGAGAGGCACTGATAAATAATTGTGCAAATTGAGCTGCCTTGGTGGAGGTTTTCACTCTCTGAATGCTTTGGCGGTGGTCGACTTCACTCTCTGAGTGCCTTGGTAGAGGTCTACACTTTCTGAGTGCTGTAGCAGGCCTACCCAACTACCTGATGCTGCACACACACTATGTCTGATACTTCGAATCATACTGATACACACCTTGAAAACGGGCAGCGTGATCCGATTTATGGTGAATTCTAGAGCCTTTGGTGCCGCCTCTGGTAGTTGAGTAGGCCTGTGTAGGGACCATTCCCAGGATCAATCTATCTCACTAAGTAGTAAACTGCAATCAGTTTAAGTGTGCACGAAAGTTAATTACCCCCCAAGCAGCTTCAGTGGGCATAACAGCCATTTAAGCCACTTAAACAGAATACAAGTTAAGAAGAATCCCTTTGGAGTTAGATTGATCCTGCTAGTGTAATAGGTCTATGGGAACCCAGTCTTACTGTTTCTAGTAAATTATTTATTGTGCGAGCATGCAGTGTCAATGCAGTGAATACCATGGATTCAGCCTGGAACATCGTAAGCTAGTCATGGCTGCCCTTCTTTTTATGTACAGACACAGATGTGTCTGTACATATAGCCGTCATCTGCGTCTGTCGTCGCTGTCGTTGCCGTCGCCGTGCACTTTTACCGATAACACGATAAGTGGAAAACTGTTTTTTCTTTTTGTTTGAAACTTACAGAACTGATGAATATTCATAATACGCAGGTCGAGTTCGAAAATCAGCATGATCGGGTCACTTATATGGAATTTATGCTGTTTTTTCACTTTTTTCAGCATATATGCAGCACCGATAACACGATAAGTGGAAAACCATTTTACCTTTTGGCTTGAAACTTACAGANTTGTTTAATTTATTATATTTATAAGCTATATTTGGACCAAAATTCAAGATCAGATTTATTTAATAATGTTTGTAGGATTGCCTAAATTTGTCCTTCTTAGAAATATTTTTTCAAAATTTAAATTTTCCCCCCTTTTTTTCAGGGGAGAGGATGGCTTGAAAGAATACTATGAAGTAAAAACTGTAAGACATTTTAAGTCTTTATAAAGATTTAATTAATTGATCTGATGATTCAGTTTAATTCAGAATTTAAATCTGATTAATTCCATGATCAGTGTTGATGAATATTACAATAAATACATCATTTTATAAATATTAAAATGAAAGTTAATTCAAATGCTGTAATGTGGAATAGCCATGGTTTATTTTGTGTAGTGGAGGAAGAGCAGATTTACAGTACTAATTTATACAGTCTATCCGTAACCATGATAATTATTAACTGTGACAAACCTGCATAGCAGAAAATAATTGTTCATTTATTAGTTTTATTTAATTTCTTGTTATACATTTATGTCAATTCCTTTTCATTAAGATTTGAATATATATATATATCTTTTTCTGTTTTCAGGTAACAGTCAAAATCCCTAAAAAGATTTCATAAAGAAGAAACATTATTAGCCGTGGGAAGCTTTTTCTTTAGTCAGATAGGTATCGCTGGTTGTGGAGTAATAAAACTGAATATGAATAGTTTTTAACTGATCAGTGAATGGACACTTCCCCATGCATCCAACCACAGAGTATTAAAATCGTCGTATATCAAAACTGTATTACAGATAACTTGAAGTGGGATGGGAATAAAGGGTTTATTAGATTGGAACACATTGCAGTTAGTGACAGTTTGAATACACATATGTCCAGTATGGCTGCCAATTCAACATGGTACCTGGTTTGAATTTCGATCGGAATTTGATTGTTTTAAAATAAAAACTGGTAAGTTTATGTTACTTTTTATTCATTTATTTTTGCATAATACAGATTCAACACTAATATTTTCTTCACCTAAGTTAACTTTTCGTGTATTATTCTTTCAGTTCTACATGTTTAAGCAAAAAACACTTCACAAGTAAAACTTATACTACATTCATATATATCTTCTGAATTTATGAAGGGATTTAAATCTCATTTACTTTTCTAAAATTTAACAAAATCTAGAATCAAATTATAAAACCTAGTTCCAATTACAAAAAGAACATTATTTTTACAATAAGTTGCTTTCTTTGTAAAGAAAAAAATAAAGTTATAGGAAGCAAATTATGAAAAAAATAAGCGAACAAAGTTTCAAAGTAGCTTGAATTTAACAATAACATTTTGCAACTTCAAAAAACACTTTCTAGTTACCAACTTTTGTCCAATGATAAAGAGCTTCAAAATGGCTTTTATGAACTGGCAGATCGGTTGTTGATATATCTCTGTATGTTCAATTGACAATCATACAAAATGCACCAATGTTGTTTAAATGGAACACATTTAAGCTATTACGTTTTTTCTTTCTTTTCATCAAACAAACCACATTTTGTAACTGATGACCTAACGCCATTTTCCATATATTCAACATTTTTATCTGAAAATATTGCAAAATGTAACCAAAAATAATGCGGGAAGTAACTTTGGGAAAACCACTTTGAGTGAACATACATGTAGTATAAATGTTAGTCGGCATTCACTGAAAAGTGTTAAAAATACGATTAAGACGCATTTCAAACAGCATTCGGTGCTCTCACAGACATGCTGAAAACTTTTCAGAATTGCCGGACATTTGGACCAGCAGTAATGAAAAATTTGCTGAACTGAATGGATTTTTGTCGGACCAAAAATCACTCTATTCATTTGAGACAGATACTACCAGTACGATCAGGATAGCCTATTTTGTTTGTGAATGTGATAGTTTTGTAATGGAAGGGAAAAAACGCTTTTTTAGTGAAGTCTGTTGAAAGATGACTAAATTCAAAATTGCGGTTCTTAAAACTCTTGTCGGTCCTTTGGACCGACCAAGTCTAATTTTTTACTGGTCCAGACAAAATTTCCCGGTCATGACCGATCAGGCCGACAGTTTCAGCATGTTTGTCTCAATTCGTCCCAGTGCCTTAAATGATTGGTTACATATCTGCCAATCAGAAATCGGTATGGCTGCAATACAGTGCACATATTTTAGAGCAATAAAATAAAATAAAAGGACATTATACCAAAATTTGAAATCCAAATATGTTACGCTACCTATGTATTTTATGATTAGACTACAATCTAAATATCAACATCCTAAAAGTTACAATTTTAAATGCCCATTCCGCAACATTATCCCATTCTTGACTATTTGTCAAGGAAATATATTACTTTTTATGTCTACAATCTGATTTCAATAAATAAAATACATGCAAACATAGAGATACTTTTAAAGACCACCTGCCTATGTGTAACTTCAAACTTTGTTATTTCGGTCAACAACATCTGTTTTCTAATAAAGCAAAGATGTTGCCATATTTCCTTTAAAAATATAGTATAAATGTAAGTATCTGCAAGACTTTACAATAAAAATAAATTCATAAAAGCCGAAAATAAATAAATTAATTGGTTTAAATAATAAAAAAAGCATCAAAAGTTGCTTTGATGACCTCAGAGAGGTGATATCGAATACTTATGTTTAATGAATCATAAATAATGCAAAACATATAAATGATGTATTTAGCAAATGCCGCAATAGTAACCTATGAATATTACATAATAATACCAAATATTTACATTAGTCTCAATATGTCCAATTTAGAGCTATCTGTGGCATAACATCTACACATGAAAAACCCTTTTAATATAAAATAAGGCTATGTACAGTATTTGTCTACATTAAAGATTAAAATGTACTAGTAAGTTACGTGTACGATCCAACAAAGCAACAACCTAACTACAGTACTTATAAAAGCTTCAATACTGCAAACTATATCAAGTTATTTGACATTGTTTCAATATGTCTGATTTTCACCAGTATTCAAACAGTAAGACGACATTTTAGTAATGTCTAAATCCATATTGGAGAGTCGCGCACATGTCACTGTCAACGTGGATTGGTTGGACACAGAACTTAACAGATGGTGACATGCACAGTTCATGACCCGAAGCAGAGGAGTGTATGAACTCAAGTGTTTACTGATAATTTCATCTTTCAAATGTAACAGGAATTGCATCTTTGCTCATATGTTTGTGGAAATCCATAAATTGCCCTGTCTGTGACAACTGAAGGAGTCATCGTTTGCTTTTTCACAAAATATTGTGAGAAATTTCAATTCACCATTTCCAAAGACATGGATGTCATTGCTCTTGGCCTCTTCTGTTTGAGTTTTCTTAGGTCAAAAATCTCTTCATGACGTAATGTACTGCACCAAGTTAATGTGGCAGTTGATTGCAATGGGGGATCTTTTCTCCTTTATTGCTGTTCTCAATAGCAGTGAACAAAGAAAAGTGGTGCATCTATAAAACCAGAAAAAATATGAAAGTGCTAGGACCTAGCTAGTAGACTGCGTAATACGGCAGTGACATCATATATAAATTAAATATAATAATTATTATCTGAAACCCATTGTATAACAAACTAAGTCTGGGCTCTACTTTTTAAGGATTCATCATCAATATGTTATTTGTAATTTTTACCACCATTTTGTCCCCAAGATTACATCAATGCACATGCTAATATGCTCACTTGTCAAAGTACAAGCAGTAGTGGCAATATTATGCTTACCTACTCTGATGAAGTTATTGATGCCAAAACAGCTTCAACATATTAACAACAACAATAAAGTCTAATATTCAAAAATTGCATACCTAATAAGTGTTCTTCTGCTTGGCAGTTTCTTCATCTAGGGCTTTACCGAATTCAGTGAAGGCACTCTCTGCCTCATCATCTCGCTTGCCCTCCCTTAACTTCTTAAGTAGGGCTGTGACTTTCAATGCCTTGGTTGGCTCACGCCGCACGGTATAATTGTCTTTCGTTGATATCACCCTTCGGTCAAGCAACCTCTGCAATACATCACGGAGGGCGACGTCTGATAGCTCCATAGCCAAGTCGGGTAGCCTGATGTGAATTAAAGAAAAAAATAGGGCACATTCAAAGATAGTAAGTTGAATCAATTTCATATACGGGTTTAAGACGAATCGGACCATTCTTTTTTTCTGGTTTTAAAGTATCCATGTTTCATTCTGGCAGTAATTGTTCAATATGCTGATCCAGAATCACAACAGACCATTTTTTGCCTGGGCCGATGTACCATTGTGAAATCAACGCCTGCATGTCCTCTCAAAAACCTACCTCAACATCCGAGCCATTTGTGCATGTCCGCTGTCATGAAGAGCACCACAGAACACGTAAAAGGCAGAATCACTTTTTCCTTTTAGGAAACTAGAAAGTCTGTAATCTGCGTCTGTTTCCAGGATTGCTGCCTTTTCCTCTTCAGCTAATATACCGGCTTTACTGAGTCGACTGAGTATCTTTGGTAGACTGTTGAATGTACCGCGGATGATCTTCAAAATATGGTTGGCGTGTTTGTCAAGGGATGTACGGTGCAGATCTGTCATTTTTCCTTGAAAAAAAAAAGAAAACGAATGTCATCTTCAGATTTAAAAGAAGAAACAATGGATAACCTATATGCAAACATTGCTTTGGAACATTTTAAATTGCTTTACATGATCACAATCACAGCGGAACATTCAATGGTTCTTTTAGTCCTGTTGGACCTATCGGCAGCTTTTGACACCGTTAATCATGGACTACTTTTATCTTTTCTTGAAGATTTTATTGGTATTAAGGACTCTGCTCTTAGTCTTTTACATTCTTATTTTACAGGCCGGTCACAGCAGGTTATGATCAAAGGCATATTATCAAATGTTTCAGAGATAGCTTTTGGTGTGCCACAAGGCAGTGTTCTAGGACCTCTTGTTTTGTGCATGTATACCTTACCAATTGAGACCATACTAAGACATCATAACATTGGCTATCATATTTGTGATGACACACAGATTTTTACTTGTTGCAATCTAGAAAATCCAAATGAATCTATTGATATATTGTCTGAATGTATTGATGATCTTTGCAGGTGGCTGATTAGTAATAAGTTGAAAATTAACGATGGAAAGTCTGAACTTTTGGTAATAAGTCAGCCTCATAATCGTATGATAGCACAACAAATTCAGCTCAAAATTGGATTAAGCAGTATTAAGGCAACACCTCATGCAAAAAATCTTGGTGTATTTTTAGATGGATCACTTTGTATAAACAAACATATTGCCAGTGTATGCAGGCCAGCAGTTTTTAACATTAGGAACATAAGTGCAATTCGCAATCAGTTGTCTGACTCTGCTGGAGACACAGTTATAAATTTAGTTACATCTCGATTAGATAACTGCAACTCCATTTTTTACAGTTGTCCAAAGAAACAAATTGCTAGACTGCAGTGCATTCAAAATATTTCGGCCAGATTATTAACTCGGACATCCACAAGTATACATATCTCCCCAGTTTTAAAAAGTTTATACTGGCTGCCTCTATAAGCCAGAATATTATTCAAATTTTTTATTTATTTATTTATTTATTTTTTTTTTTTTTGCTCATGATGCTTTTTATGGATTGGCACCAATCTACATCAATGAATTAGTCAGTCACTATGTTCCAATGTGAAAGCTGCGGTCTGTAGACCAATTGCTACTCAACCCAGTAAAATGCGATTAAAAACCTAAGGTGATATATCTTTTAAAGCTGCAGGTCCAAAGGAATGGAATCTATTACCGCTGGAAATCCAAGCAATTCAGTCTACCAAACATTTTTAAAAAGAACTCAAAACACCTTTTCAGAAATATTTTGATTAACTCTAATTGGTTTTATAAATCTTGTATAAATTGCATTTAATTGCATGGAATAATGGCTGTTTTACCTAGATTTTATTTATATTTTATGTAGTATTATTTATGATATTTTATGTAAAGTCTACTGAACATTTTAAATGGATTTTAGACTTAAAATAAATTTATTATTATTATTATTATTAATATTATTATTTGTTTGATATCAAATAATTATAATCCACTTTAGTTGAAAAAAGATACATCTTTGCATAGTGCTGCACACAACTTAATTGCAGAATATGANTTTTAGACTTAAAATAAATTTATTATTATTATTATTATTAATATTATTATTTGTTTGATATCAAATAATTATAATCCACTTTAGTTGAAAAAAGATACATCTTTGCATAGTGCTGCACACAACTTAATTGCAGAATATGATATCATAGCATAATTGTATTTACCTTTCGTAACTGGGTAGAAGTAGTCTGCTGAGGCCAAAGTGTTAGGGTCTTCTTCGGGGCATGGATGATAAGGTGCTGGTTCTGCAAGGGGAACACTAAGTATAAACTTAGGGGCATCAAACAGGGTTGGTGGAATCTTCTCCTCCCGTACACAGTGTGGACACAACATGTATTCATCCCGAGGAGAACCGGGGCATTCTTTCTCCACAAGAGCTACAAGGGCCTGAAATATCTTCCAGCTGTGCTTCTTCAGAAGAATGGAATCTTCGCCACGTATAGAAAGTTGAAGAATGCTATTGGGTGACTTTCCACTGAACCTTCTTTCAAAGCACATTTGAAACTGGTTGTCGAGTTCAGCATAGAAACCATCTTTCCAGTCATGTCGTGCTGCTTTGTAATGTCCTAAACGACCATGGAGGTGTACTGCTGCCATTTCGTAGAGACCAGGGGGACAGGCGGTTGGAAAATGGATCTCAGTCGAAATCTGCAACTTCTCTCTTGATGGAACAGAAGGCCATTTTGAGGTAATACATTCGGGTCTATCTTCCCTCAGAAGCCAAGGGAAATGGTATCGGTTTTCATCAGCATCTTTCATAACGTAGCAAATATCAAAATTCTCCAACACTTCTAACATGGCATCGAGACCACATCTTCCAAAGTTAAATCGCCACCATAAACACTCCAACATGGTTTTACTGATGATTCCTCTTCGCAGTACATCTTCCTTTGCTGATTCAAATTTCCTCTCACTGTACTTCTTGTTGAAAGGGTCGGTATCATACACAAGAGTTGATTCAATGTCGTGGCAGAGGACAGCTCTTAATATATCAATAAAAATTTCTTGTCTGTGGAAGATGAAGCTCTTCAGAAATGGCCTATCTCTGAACCAAAGAACAACACCTGTAGCATGTAGAAAATTCAATATATCTTCAATTTGTTGGGCATTGCCATCTTGTAATTGTGGAGGCACCTTCTCTGCCATTGTGGCAAGGGACTCTAGGGTTAGGAAAGGATCTTGCCCTTTCTGTTTTGATGTCTCTATTTGCTCCACTTTCTGCAGCCATACCTCAGGGAGTATCAATTTCTTTACTATAGCTCTTCTTATTAACTCCTCCTTAAGCTGGGCCATTCCATATCCAGTTTGAGAACTAGTGACAAAAACATTTTCGTCAACATGTGGTGGATTTTCAATTAACATTTTGATACGCATCATCTTTACATTGTATGCCTCTGGATACGAGCTCTTTAATTCAGTCCTCTTTTCTAATTCTTCCAGACTGGTTCTTAACTTGGATGTTTTATCACATAAGTGATATTCGACAGCACACAAAACCTCTTTCTTTCTGGCTTCCAACTCCTGCTCATTGCTCAGACAATCTGCATGCGAACCTACAAGTAAGATGGTTGATTCTGGTGCTCTGCTGTAAATATTATCTATCCAGTTTGTGACTGTGTCTTTATATTTCAAAGATACATCCTGGAGATTAAACACTATCAGCGTGAGTGCTTCCTTGGTTATGAAGAAATTGTGTGCAACTCTGTAGACTTCATGGCCACCAAAATCGTTAATGTTCAGGAAAACATCTTCCTTTGGTGACCATGGAATCTGCTCCATGACATGTGTTCTGTCTGCCAAAGTTGTTAAGAAGGGGCTACCGGATGTCAGAGTCTTCACTAAACTTGTCTTCCCTGCGCATGTTTCACCAAGGATATTCACCTGGAGTCTTAATGATCTTGTCGCTTTGGTTTTGATAAGATCATCAAAATATCTAAAAATTGCTTCTTTCCCTCTATTTGCTACTTTCTGTGGTGGCTGTATTAATTTATTCCATACAAGGTCTAATATTTTCAGATTCTGAAGTTGTGTTATCTGAGGTGGCACTGTAGTGATGCTGTTGTCACTGAGATCAAGGTTTTCCAGTCTCACCAACTGACAAACTGGCAGTGGGAGATCTTCCAACATGTTTTTAGACAGGCCAAATTCTTTCAGATTTTTAAGTTGTACAATCTGAGGTGGCACTGTAGTGATGTGATTTCCTCCAAGTATGAGTGTCTCCAGTCTCATCAACTCACAAACTGACAGCGGGAGTTCTTTCAACTTGTTATTAGACAGGTATAACCCCTTCAGATTCTTAAGTTGTGTAACCTGAGGTGGCACTGCAGTGATGTGATTTCCTCCAAGTATGAGTGTCTCCAGTCTCACCAATTCACACACTGACAACGGGAGATCTTCCAACTTGTTATTAGACAGGTTAAATACCTTCAGATTCGTAGGTTTTGTTACCTGAGGTGGCACTGTAGAGATGTTGTTGCCTCTGAGGCCAAGTTTCTCCAGTCTCACCAACTCACACACTGGCAAAGGGAGTTCTTCCAACTTGGTATTAGACAGGTCAAATTGTTTCAGATCCTTAAGTTGTGTTATCTGAGGTGGCACTGTAGTGATGTTGTTGTCCTTCAGGACAAGTGTTTCCAGTTTCACCAACTCACACACTGACAATGGAAGATCTTCCAACTTGTTATTAGACAGGTCAAATACCTTCAGATTCTTTAGTTGTGTTACCTGAGGTGGCACTGTAGTGATGTGATTTCCTCCAAGTATGAGTGCCTCCAGTCTCACCAACTCACACACTGGAAACAGGAATTCTTCCAACTTGTTATTAGACAGGTTAAATATCTTCAGATTCTTCAGCTGAAATATGTCAGGTGGCACTGTAGTGATGTGGTTGTCCTTGAGGTCAAGTGCCTCCAGTCTCACCAACTCACACACTGGCAGCGGGAGATCTTCCAACTTGTTATTAGCCAGGTCACATATCTTCAGATTTTTCAGTTGTGTTATCTGAGGTGGCACTGTTGTAATGTTGTTGTCACTGAGAAAAAGTGTTTCCAGTCTCACCAACTCACACACTGGCAGCGGGAGATCTTCCAACTTGTTACCAGACAGGCTCAACCACTTTATATTCTTAAGTTGTGTTATCTCAGGTGGCACTGTAGCAATGTGGTTTTCCTTGAGGTCAAGTGCCTCCAGTCTCACTAACTCACACACTGACAGCGCAAGTTCTTCCAACTTGGTATTAGACAGGTCAAATTGTTTCAGATGTTTCAGTTGTGTTATCTGAGGGGGCACTGTATTGATATTGTTGCCACTGAGGCCAAGTGCCTCCAGTCTCACCAACGCACACACGGGAAACAGGAATTCTTCCAACCTGTTATTAGACAGGTTAAATATCTTCAGATTCTTCAGCTGTGATATGTCAGGTGGCACTGG